ATCGTCTGGCGCTCGGTGGTGGTGGTGGTGCGCTTCTCGGTGCGCCACGACGTCTGCCCAGTGGTGGCCGGGGTGCCGTGACCGTCCGTACGCCACGAAGTCGTGTCTGAAGTTGGTTTTTAGATTTTAAAAATAGAGGATTGAGATGAATTTAGCTATGTTAACTTAATAAAAATGGCTTACATTGCTGCGGCGGCTCGTTGTTGGTGCGAACGGTCTCGGTGCGCCACGTTTCTGGAAAGTGACTGTTTTTTAGATGTACTAGTTTGTCATAGCTTAGTGGTAGTTCTAATTATATTCTGAAATAACGACGATTCTTTGCGAAAATTTAGAGATTAAAAGAATACGCCCGACACACTTGCTAGCTAGTATTCTGAATCAGCGCTTTTTAGCGGATTTATAACTTTTTGATATTTTGATAAGTTGTTTTATTTTAAAGAAAATGCGTTAAATGAGGTTTAAAAAGGACGTTAGCAATGTTTTGCGCAAATTTAGAGTTTAAAATATTTTAAGGTGAAGTGGCGTAGCGTTTTTAAACAAATTTCGACTTTTTAAAGGGTTTCACCTGGTTTTTTTTGTATTCTAGAATTAGGAACTAACTAGAACAATCCTGGTTTCATTCACTACGCTCCAAAACTTATATTTGATATCGATACAAACTAAATTTCTCAAGTCAGTTATTTTTGCGCAAACGACAGTTAGGATAAGGATATTTTAACGTGAATTTTCTTAGCGTTTTTAAAATTTACTAGTTTTATTATTTAGTATTCTAGACTTAGGTTCGATTCTGACTTAAGTCATTACGATCTAAAACGTATATTTCAAATCGATAACAAGCCAAATTCTTGTAAAACCGACCCCCGGTGGGCTGCGTGCTGGAGCGGGTGGTCTCGGTGCGCCACTGGTAGGATGACTGGCTGCTCTGCTGCTGCTGCTGGCTGCCCGGCAGCGGCGAGGCGGTCATCGCGCTGGAATTATTGGGTAATTAAGTTAATAAATTTTTGTCGAAAATCGACAAGGAATATAAGGATAAACGGAAAATGCGAGTGATAGGGTAAAGACGAGGACTGTTTGTTTGTGGAAGCTGTTGCACTGTGGGTCCCGGTGTGATAGGGGTACGGTAGTGGTAGCACGATTTACTCGAAAAGGGCAGTGGTGACAAGGTTTTGCCAGGTGGAATCTGTAGAAGCACATAGAAGCGGAAGAGGGTGTTTTCTGGCGGTGATTCATTGGAGGGAGAAGCCGAGGCAGCGAATTCATCATGTTGTGCGTCAACTTTTGGCTGGAAACGGGCCAGAAAGAGCGTAATTTAGAGAGAGAAAGAGAGAGAGAGAGAGAGAGGGGGGAGGAGAGAGAGAGAGAGAGAGCGCGAGAGAGAGAGAGAGAGAGAGGGATAGAGAGAGGGATAAGGATATTTGAAGTTATTACGACCTCATTTTGAGTATTTTCGCGTTTTTAAGATAGTTTAGCCGCAGACCCAAGCTAAGAGAGAGAGAGAGAGAGAGAGAGAGAGAGGGAGGGAGAGGAAGAGGGAGAGAGAGCGAGAGTATTTTTTGATTCTTTTAAGACCATTTTGCAAGCTCAAACTTTCACTAGCTTAAGCGTAGCCCAAGCTTAACCAAAGCTAAACTCGATTCTCAGCTCAAGCTTAGTGTTAGGCTTCACCGCCCCGGACCGGCAGGGCGCCCCTCAACACCGCGCGCACGCGCTGCCCCACGCCGCGCGCCAGCACAACAGAGCGCCCGCGCCCGCGCCAGGCGCACAGCACAGCGCGCCCCTCCTCCGAGGCGGAAAGCCGAAAATGAGCGTCGACAAGCTGGCGGCTGAAGCTGGGGAAGCGGGCCGAGATGGCTGAGTTTTCGTTGATCGGCTGGACGGCTTCAACATGGCGGCTGCTGAAAAAGGGAGGGGCAACGTACGGAAACGTACGGAGGTGTCGTACGTAGCTTGGAGACCCACCTTTGGTTTCCGGACAGGGTCTGGAGCATGGCGATGGTTTGCTCGAGTGAGGGGAGTAGTTATTCTAATTCTGACGCGATCGCTAGGCGTTCGGGGTAGTGCAGCGTAGCGATTATGGAATCATGTCTTAATTTTTGGCAAAAATTGTTTTTTTTAGGGTTTTTTACCTTCCGTCTATCCTCGAAAATAGCAACAATCGATATTTTGGCGTATTTTGGAGCAAAAAGCCAAGCTCCTACTCGCTCGGTGTTGCTCAAGAAATACGGGATGGCCAGCCAATTCTCGCTTGACAAATGGAAAATCCAAATATAATTTAGGCTTTATAAAACCTCTTCTCCGTCTCGACAACTATCGTAATTTCTTCAGGCTCAAGCCTTGGAGCAAGAGCTTTGAAGACTTCAGCGATCCAAGCAACTTCCGGCCATGTTTCAGCCGTTTCAGCTTTGTTTAAGTCACTAAAGAGGTGATTTAAAAACTGACCAATTTCGATAGATAGATGAAAACATTTTTAGTCGGTTCCCTTACCCCATTTTCTCAATCTCCACGTCTAGCTCAAGTTCAAGGAGTTCAGGTTCAAGTAAAGTAGTCCGGATCCGGTCCAGCCACTTTCCGGGGATGATCTCAAGAATTTCGAGCGGCTCGCTTAATCGAGGTATGTAAATCCATTTTCACCAACCTCTCTTCGGCTGGGAAAACGTCAAATTCTTCACTAATTTCTTGAAAATTGGGTTCTTGTAGGTCGGCTCTGGCGAATTGGGTGTGGGAGCGTATCGTATATGGGGTCGCGAGCCAGTTTTGACTGAAATTGGCCCAGAACTTATTAACTTGTTAGCCTAAGCCAAGCCAAAGCCAAGACGAAGCCAAGCCGAAACCTAAGCCTAACCCTAAACCTAAGCTTAAGCCTAATCCTAAGCCCAAGCCTAAGCCTACCTACCCCTTTTCCGTTTCCACAACTACTGACACTTCCAGTGGTTGTAACCTCGGAGCTATCGTCGTTATGTAGATAGTATCGATCCGTATTATAGGTATTTCGAGGGTTCCCTCTTCCGCTTCAATATACCTTTAAAATCATCTCACCACTTTGCGTGAAAATTGACAAACCCGATGGCATAATCGGCCAGCAGAGAGATATTTGCGAATCTTGGTGGTGTTGTGGTAAAGTCGATAGTAGTGATGCGAACTTCAGGCCAAATTACGGAATATTTTTCGACTTCATTGTTCCTTTAAACGAAAATTTTATAACGTAATCGGAGGTCGGATAACCCTTTCAGAAGCTCAACTATCTTGAAAGCCTCTTCAGAGCCTGGTGCTACCGTATCCAAGTCAATAGTATCGATTCGTACATCCGGAAGCCAGAATTCTTTCCCTCCGAATTGCTCGTCCCTTTAAAAAGTAGCAAACGCAGAACAGATCCTAACTCGTTCTCCACTACTATATCAATTGATAGCTCTTCAAAGCCTGGAACTACAGTAGCCAAGTCGATAGTACCGAGACGTACATCCGGGAAAACTAGTAGCACGCTTTCAGCTTCACTGTGCCTTTAAAATTTGGATTTAGAGATATACAGGGTTAAGTTACATTTGTTCGAGCCGAACTTCTTGAGAAAGTTCGTCAAATCCTGGAGCTACCGTAGCCAGCTCGATAGTATCGATTCGTACTTCCGGAAGCCACAATTCTTTCCCTCCAATTGGCTCGTCCCTTTAAAAAGTAGAAAAAGCAGAACAGGTACTGACTCATTTTCCATAACGACGTCTATTGACAGATCTACAAATCCTGGAGCTACCGTAGTCAAGTCAATAGTATCGATTCGTACTTCCGGCAAAATGAGCGAGCGACTCTCGGTTTCACTGTCCCTTTAAACTGCGGATTTAAAAATATTGTTAGTTGCGCAACCTCTTTTCTAGCTCAGCCTCTTGGGCAACATCTTCAAATTCTGGAGCTACAGTCGTCATGTCAATAGTATCGATTCGTATTTCCGGCAAAACTAATGTCCGACCTTCAGCTTCACTGTCCCTTTAAAATAACAATTTAGAGATGCAGAAAGTTAGGATCACCTTTTGTCGAACTGAGTTTCCTTAAGAACTTCTTCGAATCTTGGAGCTACCGTGGCCAGGTCAATAGTATCGGCACGTACTTCGGGTAAAATCAGGGTACGACTCCCGACTTCACTAGCCCTTTAAAATGGAAATTCAGAGATATAGATATTAAGATAACCTCTTTTCTAGCTTAATTTCTTGAGAGAATTCCTCGAAGCTTGAAGCTACAGTAGCCAATTCAATAGTTTTGGTTCGTACTTCTGGCATAACGATGGTCAGATCCTCTTCACTAGCCCTTTAAATTGAAAATTCAGAGATACAGAGAGTTCCTTCTCCTCTCTGTCTTCTCAACTCACTTCTTGTCGAGCTCACTTTCCTCAAAAACTTCTGCAAATCCTGGAGCTGCCGTAACCAAGTGATTAGTATCGATTTGTACTTCCGGAAAGACTCGTATCACACTCTCATCTTCACTGTCCCTTTAAAATTTGGATTTAGATATCTACAAAGTTAGGTTACCTCTTTTCGAGCCCGACTTCTTGGGTAAGTTTGTCAAACCCTGGGCCTACAGTAGCCAGGATAATAGTATCGTGTCGTACTTCTGGCAAAATCAGGGCATCCTCCATTTCACGGTCACTACCCCTTTAAAAATCAAATAAGTTTTTAGCGAGAAAACTTACTCTTTGGTAAGATCTGTGACGGTTGAGATTTCTTCAAAGCTTGGAGCTACGGTGGCAAAGCCAATAGTATCGATAAGTACTTCGGGTAAAATCAGGGTAAAAACTTCGGCTTCAATGCCCCTTTAAAATTAAAATTCACAGATACGGATGGCATATACTCGCTTTCGAGCTCAATTTCTTGAGAAATTTCTGCAAATCCTGGAACTACCGCGGCCATGTCCATAGTATCGAATCGTACTTCTGGCAAAATCAGGGACATCTTCTCGGCCGCACTCTCCCTTTAAATTGGAAATTTAAAATATTATTAGTTAAGGCAACCTCTTTTCTAGCGTAGCTTCTTCAGAAACTTCTTCAAATCCTGGAGTTACCATAGTCAGGTCAATAGTATCGATGCGTACTTCTGGCAAGACTACGGTAGGGCCCTGGGCTTCACTATCCCTTTAGAGTAAACTTTTTAAGGACTGCGTTATTACTGAAACCTACCCGTTCTTTGTGAAAATCTTTGCTGCACTGTCAATTTCTTCGTAACTCGGCTCTTTCAACCCGAAAATCATCCCAACGAGCTTATAAATTTCCGGGAGGATACGGGATACGGTAGCGATTCTAAAGGGATTTTAATCGATTAAAAGCTTTAGATCAACGGGTTTAAACCATTATAATCGATTTCAGTCGAGACCTTTAAAATAGCTTACTCATCCTCAAGTAGAATATTCAAATCTAACTCTTCTTCCAGTGGTTTTCCGATTTCTACCGTATGCCAGCTAGCAGTGTTAAAATTTGGTTTTGGAAGTCGAGCACTAGTGGCTTCGACGCTAAAATACTTTGTTAAATTAGATTAATTAATTAGACTTTAAAGGAAATAGCAAGTCAAAAAATGATTTCCAATTTTACCCCTTACCTTTCTCTTCCCCCAATCGCCACTTCCAGATCAAAGTTGGTTTCGCGGCCATTTTGGAGGGGATTTGCACGAATTTTCTCGACTTTGGGGCCCCTAGAAATGGGGATTACTGTGGAAATCGTGACGAAACCACCTTTCCGGTCTCTTCCGTTTTCTCCGCCTTTCCGGAGCTGTTAAATCGAGTCCAGTTGCTTCCGGTTTTGGAGTCTCTCCCCAAATTGTCCCAAAATTGGCCATGCTAATTAATTTTTATTTCAAAAGTTTGCTAAGACTTACCTAGACATTTTTTGGAGCGCAAAATCGATATTTGTCGTCTGTGGCCTTGAAAAATTGTAGTTTCAAGGTTTTTAGAATGTTTACTTGATTTCCGCTTGGTGTTGCTCAAGTGGTTGTCCAAGTTTAAAAGTGAAAGAGGCCAGGCTGGAAATTAAAGGGTATGCGAAGTTTTGCTCGATCGTTCGCGTTTCCCTCTCTCCTCTCTCTCTCTCTCTCTCCCCTCTCCCCTCCTATCTTTGGTTCTCCTTCCCCCCCTTCCCGGCCCCCGCCTCTCCTCTCTCTCTCTCTCTCTCTCTCTCTCTCTCTCTCTCTCTCTCTACCTCGCTTCCGGCTTTTCCCATCTAATTTCCGGGTACTTCCGCTTCTTTCCAATAGCCAGAAAATTATTGGCAACATGCCAGCGAGGGCCAGGCGTAGGGGGCACCAAAAATTCGGTCGATTCTTGCCTAAATCTCGATCTACCGTAATCCCCTGTCTATCGTACCTTTCATTCGCTTTGACGTTCGTGAAGGTCTCTTGGGACTCGTTCGGAAAATCAATATTCAAGACAACGGCTTCAAATTCCGGGCACAAGGGTGACCTCATCGGATAGGGAGACCCAGTGACTAGAAAAATGTTGTTCTTTAAAGGTTGCATTAGCTACCGTACCCCTCATCGCCTCCAATTTCAATATCGGTTCTTGAATAGACAAACCCTGGCTCGAGGGCTAGGAGGGAATCACGGGCATACGGAATGTCGATAGTTGTAATTTGTGCTTCATCGGAACCGCTGGGGAATAGGGAAAATTGAGGCTTGAAACGATAGGCCTGTCTCTCTCTCTCTCTCACTCTCCCTCTCCCCCCCCCCTGCGCTTTCTCTCGTCTCGCCTCCCTTCCCTCCCCCCTGCTTTCTCTTTCCCCCCCCCGCTATCTCGCCGCCCTATCCCCCCCCCCCCTCTTGCGTGCCACTGCCTCTTCCCTCTCGCTCGATTTCATGTCTCGCTTCCCTAAATCCTGCCCCATCTACCGTACCCATCCACCTCGACCGCCACGTCCAGCTCGATCAATTCCCGATGATCCGCTGGCTCCAAATCCACAAGAATACTCCCAAACTGCCTGTCAAAATTCCGAATTACAGTGCCAGCGTGCCCGATGGTGCTAAAACGAGGACAAATGGTGCTCCCAAGCTCGGCAAAAGGACCAAAAAGCCTCGAAAACCGACTTCCTCGACTTCCGGTCCACATCAACGTCGAGGTCAATCATTTCCGAGTTGAATCGGTTGTTCAGGAACGCGGAAAACCGGACGGATACCGTATCCAGGGCGGGGATGATGTGGGAAATGTCGAATGTGCTGAAAGTAGGTAGCTAGAAGAGTTTCTTGGGGAAACTTGGGTTCATGACAAGCTAGCAGAGACTTTTTTGGAGCCCGAATCTGCAGAATTGGGGTCCCACCTCTCCTCCTGCGAACAGTTTACATCCAAATCGATCAATTCCACGCCAGCGTACGTGGGGCTCCACCCGAACGCCTCCGCCACGACGCCCCAAGTGCCCGTGCACTCAAACTCACTAGAAATTTCAAGATGAGCAAGCTAGCAGGAATTTTTTGGGAAGCGGGTTCTCGAGGTAGCTTAAGCCTAAGCCTAAACAGAAGCTTAAGCCTACGCGTAAGCCTAAGCCCACGCCCACGCCTAAGCGTAAGCATAAGCATATACCTAAGCCCAAGCCTGAGTCGAGTTTAAGCCTAAGTCCAAGCCCAATACTAAAGCCTAAGCCTAAGCCCGAGCCCAAGCCTATGCTAAGCCGAAGCCTATGCTAAGCCTAAGCTAAGTTCAGCTAGCTAGGTGGAATTAACCCGGCTTCTATCAGCTATCGAGGCGTCTTCGAGCTGTTCAGGGGACGGCTAGGCTAATAAGCTTTCAGCTCAATCCAAAGCCGAAACAAGCCTAGCAAGCCAGCAAAGAAAATTGCGGAAATCCAAGCCAGCCAGAAAAAGCCCATGAAAACGAAGAAACCCGTACCTCTCCTCCCGATTTCCCTCCACCTCCAGCTCGATAAATTCATCCCTGTAGGCCAGTTTTCGGTGCGGGACCCGGAAATGGGCCCAGGCATGGTGGGGGTCTGTTGCAAAATAGCTGGTGCAGCCGAGAGAGGGTCTAGAGGTAGATGAACAAGATTAAAAGGTACTGTACCCGCTTTCTTCCCTGATCTCCACATCCATCTCGACCAATTCATGCTTGTACCTCGAGAATCCACCATAGCTATCCGCGCATTCCGCACTGAAATACGGGGGCGGTTTCAAGGGCCCAGGAGGTCGATTTGTAGCCTGTAGTTTCCCCGTTTCCGGCGGCATCTGGGGTAAACGACCTTTATTTTTCAATGGTACGATCAGATTACGTCAACGCTACAGTACGTTACAGTACGATACAGTACGTTACCGTATGTTACAGTACGCTACAGTACGTTACAGTACCATACAGTACGTTACCGTATGTTACAGTACGTTACAGTATGTTACAGTACGCTGCAGTACGCTGCAGTACGTTACAGTAGTTGCAATACGTTACAGTACTTTACAGTACGTTACAGCGCGTCGAATTCAAATGTTCAAACGCTTAGTAGTCTGTAGTCCGGTATATTTTGTAGTCGTCCAACCCTATTTTGCAGTCCCTAATTTCTAGGATTGATTCTGCAGCTTTGAGATATCTTGTAGTCTGTAGTCTATAGCCCCTCTAGCTCCGCCCACCTATCTTCTTGCGTCAATTCAATCTCCAAATCAACCAGCTCCTCGGTGAACGTCTCCACAAATTCGGTAGTATTATGCCCGGATTCGTACGAAATCCGAGCCATTGGGGTACTGTGCCCGGGCTTCCAGGTAGAAAATAAATGGGTCCTAAATCACTTGCTAGTTCATTTAAAATCAGCTTAAGCCGTTAATAGTATAAAACGGAATGTGTCAGGATACGTACAGCCAAAAAGGGCAATCCATTGCCCCCGGAATCGTCCTTCCAAACGGGTCTAGCATTTGTCTGCCGCGAAGCAGAGTCATCTGGTTGAGTCATCGCTTTTTCGGGCCTCTACCGCGCCCGAAATTACAAGCCGTTGAAATGGAGTTGGTAATAAAGGTAGCTTAAGTTCAAGCCTAAGGCTAAGCCTACGCATAAGCCTAAACTTAGGCCAAGCCTAAGTCAAGCCTAAGCCAATCGTAAGTTTAACATAAATTTACGAAAAGCGAGCATATAACAGAGTTACTTTGTGATTTTTTTTGTATTACGTCCGGATTCCGCCCAGATTTCGGCGGAATCCGGAACGGGCCTGATCCGGAAGCTGATCGCGAACCGGAAATGGTCCGGAATTGGCGCAGAAATCCAGAACACTCAATTTTCAGCAACCTGCAGAAAGAAAGAAAGAAAGAGAGAAAGAGAGAGAGAGAGAGAGAGAGAGAGAGAGAGAGAGAGAGGGAGAGAGAGGAAAGAGAGAGAGAGAGAGAGAGAGAGAGAGAGAGAGAGAGAGAGGGGAGAGAGGGGAGAGAGGGAGAGTGATAGAGAGCAAGAGATAAAACGAGCACGAGAGAGTGCAAGTGCTTCTTTTAAGTCTCGAATTTCATATCATGAATTCAAATAAACACGCAAAAAGTAGTGCTATAGCTAAAAAATCCAAATTCAGAGAATAAAATAAAATAGAATCAGTGCTGTAACAACTACCTTTGATAAAAATCGATAGCTTCTATTCCCCGTAGCCTGGTCGAACGCCCCGAATAATAGATCCTCATCTTGGAGCCCCAAATAGTACAGAAATTTGCGTAGAGCGTTGAATTTGTGCCAGCTGCGCCTTGTTGGGGGTATTGCCTCGTACTAGACAACCAAAAATGGGGCCCAGCTGGGCACGTTTTTCATAAATTTTGCTCGCCTCGTTCTCTCTCTCTCTCTCTGGCTCTCTCTGGTCTCTCTCCCTCTCCTACTCTAAGGGCCATGTTAGGGCCCACTTTTGGGAAAAGGAAAGAGGGGCTGTGGGAGAAGGGCACACATTTCTCACTATTTGACTGCTGGGGAATTCAGGAAATGGAGAGAGAGAGAGAGAGAGAGAGAGAGAGAGAGAGAGAGAAAGCGAGAGTGAGAGAGAGGGCGAGAGAGAAAGCACCAGATATTCCAAAAATCCGATAAAATCACCCGAATCACTGATTCACCGGATTCCCCGTCGAAATTCCGAAACATTACACCCAAAGGTAGCCTGGGCAACGGAAAGAAACGGAAAAATGAAAACCGAAGCATTTGGGGTTTTTTATGAATAAACATAGTTTTCGGGGGATAGGAGCGACGCGGAAGCCAATATTTTAAAAGGGAGGACGACAGTAATCTTGCTGTCACTTCCCCTTAAAAGTAAATATGGGTATAAATGTACACGTCATGTAATTCTCTGTAAATTTTTTTGTTATTCGTATTGCGGAGGCTGAGAGGGGCTAGAGCGAGAGATAGAGAAAGAGAGATAGTGAGAGAGGAGGAGCGAGAGAGAGTGGGCGAGAGAACGAGTGAATGTGAGTGAACAGGAGCGAGAGAGAGCATGAGCAAGAGCTATAGCGAGAGAGTGAGACAGAGAGAGAGAGAGAGAGCGAGAGATAGAAGCTAGAAGAGCTAGAGCGAGGGATTGAGAGATAGAGGGAGAAGGCGTAGATTGAGCACGAGCTATAAAGAGATAGTAAGATAGTACGAGATAATTAGAGATAAACACCAATCGATACGCAATCAAATCAATATCCAGAGCCGGGGGATCGGCTCAAGCTCCCGGGGTGGGCCCTGTTGCTCAGCGCCCAGCGATCGGTTTGTGTTGTGTTGTGTAGGCGGTGCTCAAAGAAGAGAGAGGGAGAGAGAGATGCTCTTTCTCCCTCGTTTCGGCTGTAACAGCCAGCGGGGCACCCGACTGACTCCAACTGAAAATGCCCTCGGGGCACATTCTAGCCAGGGAGGGCAATAAATGCCAACCGATTTACAGATTTACTGGGTTGCAGCTGGGGGCAGGCTAGCAGAGGTTTTTGGGAGGTTGTAATTGAGGGTAGCTAGCAGGGATTTTTTGGAATTCGACTTTGACAGGCTAGCCGAGACCCTTGGGGAATTTAGGAACTTAGCGAGTTGGATCTGACTGGCTGTTTTTTTGCGGGGAAATCGTGATAATAGTGGCTAGCTAGCACAGATTCTTTTGGAATTCAGGCTCTTCGCGGGCTAGCAGAGATCCTTGAGGTATAATTTTTGGCTAGAATGCAAGGATTTTTTCGGCATTCACGCGTTTGGCCAGCCAGCAGAGATCATTGAGGAATTTAGATACCTAAGGAGCTAGCAAGGATTCTTTAAGAACTCATGCACAATGTGGCAGCTCAAGCCTTTGGTTGATTCTCGGCGCAAGGTATGCTAGCAAAAAGTTTCTGAGAACGGGAACTCAAAGGTATGCTAGCAGAGATCATTGAGGAATCCTGAAAATTGAGTAGAAAACTTTTAGGAATTTCAGAGTAAAGGCTAGCTAGCAAAGCGTCTTTGGGGTCCCAAATATATCCATCGACACCAGTTGTGACTAGTGAAGAGGATTCGCACCCGCGCGCTCGACACGGCTGTCAAATTACAATTCCCGGGTGGGCTATTATAATGCGAATGGCGGCTCTTGCAGGCTTCGCTAAATCTCAGGGAAGCGGAGGGAACCCGAGAATCATACTCGACTTAAGCCTAAGCCGACGCCTAAGCCAGCTTCATCTGAAGAAGATTCGCGATTTTTATTCATATATTTTTATTTATTTGTCGTTATCTGCATGTTGTAAAAAATATTTATCTTCATCGAAACGCCCGAATCTAATGGTACTTCCGGAAGCGACGGTGGAATCCGGCGTACTCTCCGCCCTCGCGACGAGCCGGGCATTTGCAGTACTGAAAAAGACGCGTAACGTAGCTTAAGATAAGCGGAAGCCAAAGCTAAGCCTAAGCCTGAGACTAAGCCTAAGCCACACTAAGCTGAGCCCAAGCATAAGCCTAAGCTAAGCCTAAGCATAAGCGTACGCCTAAGGGTGCGCTAAGCCTAAGCCAAGGCCTAAATCGAGCCCACTAAGCTTAAGTCGAAGGCTAAGCCTCGGCCTTTGCTCACCTGAGCGTCTTTTCCTGGGTTTCCGGTGGATCCTGGGTATCCCTCATCTCCATCAGCTCCAGCAGCACCGGTCCATCCAGGTTGTCCGGGTTCTCCCTTCGGCCCAGGGGATCCTTGCTGAGCGTCACGACCAGGGAGACCGGGTTGTCCGATATCGCCACCATCTCCAGGAGGTCCACGGGGCCCCTGTAAAATATCGATTGCTTACAAAGAAAGGTCGTTTGGGTCAGGTGTCAAATTGACTTGAAACTTTGCCAGTGGATAGAAAATCAAAAATAAAGTGGAGTTTCTTAATCTCATTGTCTGCACAATACCCCAAATAAAAAAGTTATAGGCCTTTGAAGTTACATAAAAAAGCACGAAACGCCCGGACAATTCTGACCTGGCCCTCATTATGCGCTCCCCCCTTTTCAAGCTCTTGCGTCGCCCGAACTGGCAAGCTGTTTGGCGCAGTAGGTAGTGCTGTAGTGTGCGAAACTTTTTAAATTTTTGTAAGCGAGTTCAAGTTTTTGAAGCGTTTAACTTCTTACTTTTTGGATTTTGCGCCAACTAAACCTGCAGGAGAAAAAAGCAAAAAGCAAAAAGAGAACTTTTTTGTCTCGAACTTTTGCCAAAAATTTTTCAAAAAATTATGAGTCAAGCGCACTACCGATTGCGCTACAAGCGACGTGGGGAGCGGCCCCAAGTGAGGATCAAGAAACTACCCATGAAAAAAGGTGGCAACGGTGCGGTATTGGTGCAAAAGCCTGCGAAGAACTCATTTTTTAGACCACAAACTTAAAATGCTTACAACTTTTTAATTAGGGGTATTGTGCAGAAAACGACTAAGCGCACCTTGTTCCGTTTTAAATTCTCTATCAACTGGCAAATTTTTGGAAAGATTTGACACCTGACCCAAACAACCTTCCCTTGTTAGTACAAAATTCTTGAAAACGGAGGACTAAAAATTCGGTAAATGTTGCTTAACGGGGGGGGGGGCAAATCTAATTCCTCAGAAATCATCATGAAACTAAACAGTTTTCAAGCTGATTAAACCACTTTGTTAACATACCTTCTGCGGCACCGGACTCTCCGCATCATCACCAGGCGTTCCCGCATCCCCATGGGCCCCATCCTTTCCGGGTGGCCCAGGTGGGCCCATATCGCCCGGCATTCCGGGGTTTCCGTCTCGACCCGGGTGTCCGGATCTTCCCTTCGCTCCGCGCATCCCGCGCATACCGGGGTGACCGGTTGGACCGGGTGGGCCGGGTGGGCCCTGGGGGCAGTTGAAGCAGCCGGTGGATTCGCGCTGCTCGCGGTCCTGGGCGTCTTGGCTAAATAATTGTGGTTTGAATTTTGTAGGTTTTAGTTTGAAGTTTCCTCAATGATCTCTGCTAGCCTGCCCTCGCTTCCCCAATGATCTCTGCTAGTCTGCCCGCGTTTCCTCAATGATCTCTGCTAGCCTACCCTTCAACGCTTGCCAATCCCTTTAAACCGTACCCATCCTTTCCATCAATTCCTGGCAATCCATCTGGGGCATCGGGTCCCTGGTCTCCAACGGGTCCTAGCGGCCCGGGAGGGCAAGAGTTCTCGGTGGTGCATTGGCATCGTTGGTCTAAACAAAAAAATAGATAAATTCATGTCGTAATCGGAAAGCTGATTGATTGATTTCATGCCGTAATCAAAAAAAGATCGAGTGAAAACTCACTAAACGACGGGTTGGAGGCGGGGAAGACTTGGGTGGGAGGAGGAGACTGATTTCCGGCGGCTCCATAGCTGGAAAATTAAGGCGAGCATGACAGATGGAGATCGAGCCCTACCCTCCGTAAGCTTGACGAGTATGGCGGGTAGATGGGGTACCCGCTCCCAGGATCACCATATCGTGCCACATATCGTCGGTGATCGTCTGGAAATGGAGGTTTTACTTGGTTTTCGGGCTCTCTTGCTCTCGCGATCTCTCTCTCTCTCTCTCTCTCGTTCTCACGCTCTCTCGCTCTCTCTGTTTCTCTCTCTAACTATCTAATATCCAGTAACTTACCCTAAAGTTCAGAATCTCGGCATCCAGCTCGCTCCAAATATCTGTCACCGAGGAGTACAGCGAGGCTGCGGCAAGCAGGCAAACAAGCAGCGTGGCGCCAGAAGCGCAAAGCGCCACCCATGGGGCCGACGTGGTGCCCATACTGTAACAGGGTACTGTAGAGGAATTCCACAGAACATAGGCAAAATAAACCGAAAAATACAGTGGACAACGACTCAACCCTGAAAAAAAAAATCAGATACCCCGGAAACTGAAAAGACGGCAAAATACTGCCAAAAGGGCAGGGATACCCCACGGTTCCGACAGGCTCCAATGTAAGGGATGCTGCGCTCAGGATCTGCGCGTCGCACGAAGATTTATGAGCTTGGGGGAAGGCGGTGGTAGGTCTGGCTTTTCCTAGACGGCTAGACGCCTCTGGGGCAAATGCACTTTCGGGCAAACGGCAGTCTAAAGGAACCCAGAAGCGAAATTTGGCTATATTCCATCTGGGTACTGTAGCCGGAGTCAAGTTTAGCCAAAAATGCGCTAGAAATCTGGAAGAAGGCGAGTGTAAGGGCAGCAGCAGGCAGAGTCTAAGCCTAAGCCTGAGCCGAAATCTAGGCCTAAGTTTAACAAAACCTAAGCTTAATCCTAAGCCAAAGCCTGGGCTTAAGTCAAGTCTCAGCGTGACCTAAGCTTAAGCCTAAGCCTAAGCCAAGCCAAAGCCCAAGCCGAACCCGAAGTCAAGGCTCGGCGTAGCCTAAGCCAAGCCTAAGCCTAGACCCAAGTCAAGCCTCAGCGCAACCTAAGCGTAAGCTTAACCTAAGCCTAAGTCAACTCCAAGCTTAAGCATCAATGTCAAACAGGGGAAGAAGCAAAATGCTTACAATAGTATTAGCTGAGCCTTGCCGGTCCCTTTAAAGGACCACGGGCAGCCTGCCAGGCGTTCATGGGGGGTTGTTATATAGCCTGAGGGCATGTCGGGTTCGGAAATCGCCCCTCTGCGCCCGCACGCCCCCGCCCTGAAATGGATATACAATTTTCGATCTCAATTCCAGTTTTCCGGATCTTTGCCCCTTGCCGGTTTGAGTCATGATTAGAAAGCGAGGAAAGAGGGGGAGCCTTTTCGAAAAAAATGGAACCCCCTTTAGGGGAGACCGGATGCAGGAAGGGAAAAGTCGGGAAAAGCCGAGAAAACGGTGAAAGGCAATTTGATCTGGGTGAAAGGAGACGGCTTTCACTTGCTGGAAAGATAAGTCGAATACCGTATCTTAAGGGGATTGTCAAGGCTGTATATCGCGGATGGTCGACTTTTTGAGCTCAGCCAAATCGAATGCAAGACAGATTTTGACTTCACGGTCCCCATAAAATTGCAAAAAGGGCGTCATCCAATTTTTTCAATATCCGGAAAAATGTACGCTACCGTAGCCAAAAGGCTAAGTTAGAGAGAAAGCGGGAGAGAGCGAGATGGAGCGAGATGAAGACAGAGAGCGAGAGAGAGAGAGAGAGAGAGAGAGAGAGAGAGAGAGAGAGCAAGGGGGATAGAGGGAGAGAGCAAGATAAAGGGGAGAGAGAGAGAGAGAGAGAGCGAGAGAGGGAGAAAGAGAGAGAGAGAGAGAGAGAGAGAGAGAGAGAGAGAGAGAGAGAGAGAGCCAGGAGGGGAGGGAGGGAGAGAGCAAGATAAGGGGGAGCAACAGGTTGACAAATCCCCGTTGTCGCGCTCACTTTAAAAATCTAAGGATCGAACATCCAGCTGCTGGAATTTTCGTCTCTCTCTCTCTCTCTCTCTCTCTCGCCATCCTCAAAGGCATACCGCACCAAAATCCAGTTCCCTTCCCGCGCTGGCAGAATCCGCTGCGATGAGCAATAAATTTGTGCTGCCCCTCACTTCACATTGATGGACCAAAAAACAACAGATCAAATTAGAGACATACGAAATGTCGTGCGGGGTGCTCAGCGGCTCCGAAAAACCGTAAAACGAGGAGGGGCAGTTTTCCGAAGCGGGCTCCCTAGGGTTGCTGTGGGGTCTGGGCAAAAACGCCGAGGGCGCACATCAAGGGCGCATTTTTGGGATTGTGCGCGGCGGAGCGTGGTGTAGCTGTCGAAATGCTAAAGATTGGACTGGGTGATGAGTTGATAAATCAAAAAAATTCGTGTTGAAAACCTGTTAAATCGCGATATAAAGTGTACAAAATCATTGCGTAAATTCCATAGCCTTTGAATTAACATTTATAAGTATCAAAACACGGTATATAATTAAACGACACAAACGGTAAAGATGGGGAAGGGGCAGCACCAACATCAGTGCCCTCCCATAGTAGAAGTGGTAGTAGCAGTAGTAGGGTACGACGGTATCTCCAAGGAGGGTGGGTACACGAAGGGTCAGAAATCGCAGAAAAAGGGGAATAATTGATTTCATAACGCGACGGAAGAGCTGGGTATGACGAATGGATGGTGTGTGGGTGGATTGAGAGGAGGGTACGAATGACACTGGACGAAATACAACAAACAACGAACGGTTGAGACATTAATAGATAGATAGTAGGGTACAGGATATATGATCTCGATGGGGGTGTCACAGTGATTGGGATAGGCAGAGGTGGGGAGTACATTAAATAAAGTTTAATAAACCACCTATTAAAGGGACCGGCAAGGCTAATGGCTATGGATTTTGGTCGCTATTGGTTTTTCAACGGCCGCGATACGCAACGCGTTTGTCGTTTTTCCGTTGTAAAGGAAGCGTGATCGATTACGCAATAAAAGCGTTGCCTGAAATCCATAGTCTTGCCTTCCCGGTCCCTTTAACGATCGATAGCTACGGCAATTCGGGCGCGGAAAAGGGTCACAGTTGGGGGGACATTGCGCACAAATAAACACGAATTTTGCATCAGGGTCACAATTCTGGGGGGCTGAGCACGTGATCGATTTTTTGAAATTGTTGGTCTAGGTCGTCGGGATTCCGAAACTGTACTATCGCCGTAAAGTGTAGCCTATCGTAGCTAGTAAAGTGCAGCACGCAGTTCCAAATTTAGGGGAACGCGGAATTTCGGTAGATTACTATCCCCATCAAAAGTAGCCGAGCGTACAGAGTACAGTGACGGAATCCCCGAGGCGACCAGCGCGGAACTTTCCATAGCAATACTGTCGCCTAAAGCTACGATTACGGTATAGGTAGTTGGGTGGGTGTGGAAATCTCTGTCTCAAAAAGAAATCGCCGATGCGTGTGACAGAAATGCGGGCGGGGAAAAAAGGAGAAACGACAAAAATTAGCTCCATAATATGGGGGGTTGAGCAACGGCGGCGGGGAGGAGGAGGAGTTCGACAACGAGACATCATCAATGGGGAATATATAGAGCGGGTTTATTGCAATGGGTTGCGCGAGATTTCGAGAACAATGGGCTTGGAATATTGGTGGTGGACGGCGTCTTCGAGCAGTTCAACGCGTTCACGAAGCGTAGATGAAGTTCTGGTGCGAGTTGGACTGGGAGGGGGGCGGCTGCTGCTCGCCGTTCTCCAGCGGCTCTTCGGCGCTTTGCGGTGAGATTGAAGGGGCGCTCTGGAAGAGAATACGGTAAATGAGGCACTTTTTCAAGCAGTTCGATCCGATTAGGAAGTTTGGTATTTAGAAATTCATTTCCGTAACTTCATTATGTCGAAATTTCAATAAAATGCGCTTGGAAAAGATCACTCACAAATGAGATAAATAAATAAATAAAATCGCCTAAAGACTCTTCCAAAAATTTCAGCACTTTCAAAAAAGCGCAGTTTTATGGAATTAAATTTACCAAGAATTTTTCTCACCTCGACCTCCTTCTCATCATTGTCCCCATCCTCCTCCTCGCCCTCACATTGGCCCTCGGTGGCTCCAGCTTCTTGGCAAAGTCCCAACAGGGCGACCAGGTCAATCTCTTGGCCCTTGATGATTTCGGGCGTGACGGCGTTTTCGTTGGCTGAAAAAAAAGTTTAAACTTTTAAGGGACCGGGAAGTCGACATTTAAAACAAAAACTATTTTGCCATAAAAAGCTAGTAAAAACGCTTACTGGGCATGTTATTCTGCTGGGCGGCGCTCTGAGCAAAAGCCTGGAAGAGGGCCTCGAAATCGACGGGAGCCTGCGATGAGGCGGTCTGCGGGGTGGACGGCTGG